CGGCTCGACGCGACGGAAGCAGGATCGCCGCTGTAAATCAACCTTCGGCCCGTTCCGAGGGAATCGATTACCATTTAAACGTAGCGCGAGCGAGCCTTAACTACCCTGTCACAGTTCCAATCCTGCACCCCTTAAATTTCACGGCAACGGGGAATCTAGAGCCGCCCTATTCGTCAGCCGTTTCGGAGCACGGCGCCCGGAAGAACGCCGACGCCGAATTTAGACGCTGGAGAAAAATTCACGAAATATCTGTGGAACCTGTAAGCGTCGCAGGGAGTAACTAGGAAAAAATTGTCGCGGTCGCGAGGAAAATTCGACACGTTCTATGCGAAGCTCGCGCGAGAAACGCGCGGCGCGGCGATTCGATAAAATTTTGATTCGAGAAAGCGGTGGCCCGCAGGCTCTCGTGGAGGATTCTTGAAAAACGCGATCAAACTTGTTGGCCGGTCCGATAAACGCGGAAACAGCGGCAATTGTATCGCGATGATCCAGCAATCACGGCACGAGAATTAAAGCGCAGCGGCCGTGGCCAGAAGAGCGGCGGATCTCTCGAGAGATCTCGCGGGGGTGGTTTTCGAGTGCGTTCGAGGCTAGGTCACGGCTGGCCTCCCCTTCGCCCCGGGATCCTACAAAATTGAACAACTTTCACGGCGCTCGCTGCGCCGCCATATTTGCCCCGACGAATATACACGCTCGAAAGGCAAATCTACCGGGTTTTCCCGGCTTCTATCCGCAAATATGGAAGTTCCGGGCGGCATGGCGGCGCGGCAGCGACGATGCCAGGGCGCGCGGAGGAGGCGCGGGGTTGGACCCGGCCGAGAAAGAAATAGCAGAAACGAGAGACGGGACCGTGTATCAAATACTCGAGAACTGGAGCTCGCAATAGAGGCGTGCTGCACGTCCGTTTCAACTTTTTCCATCGTGCAGCCATCGAGAGTTCTCCTCGAACCCCGTTAGAAACTTCTTCGTTTAAACACCGCTTGTCGATCGTTTCCGCGTACATCCGCCGCCGCCGAAAAGAGGATCCGAAGACTTTCGGATCCCCCCGGCAAGAAGTAGGCCGAGAAGAAGCGTTTCATTTAGTTCTCGCCGATGCGACGGATAGATAATACCGAAAACTTCCGATGCTACCTTCGAGCTTCTGTCCCTTTCGACCGTCTCCTCGTCCGTCCGTTCGACGAGTCCCCAAGCATCTCGTCGCGTCTTCGCGAAAATTAGACGTTTGTAGAGTCGATCGATTAGGAAGATTAGGGTGCACGATGGAGCCGAGCCGGTCTGTCGCGAGAATCGAATCGGACGATTAGAGGGCACAGAGATCCGAGTTGGACGGCCAGAAGATCCTGAGAGCCAAGACACACGAGTAGGAAATTCGCGAAGCCGAATCGAGCAATCGAGAGATTCGCCGGACCGCGGTCGAACGACTCGAAAATCCGAGAATTTAAGTCGGACGCATTCGCGAGGTCCGAACATCGGAACCAGGGGAAATCGATCCGCAATTAAGATAGTTATCCTATATGCTGGAACGTTTCGCTGAACGACGTCGATAAGAATTTCTGGCCGCGTCTCGATCGACGGCGAGAAGAAGCAACTCGGTTCCACCGATTTTCGCGTTTCGCGACCGTATCGACGCGAGTCGCGGAAGCGTCGAGACTATAGGGGAATTGAATAGCAGGTTGATTCGGTTACGGGAACGAATACTTCGCGGTGCGCGTCGACGCGCGGACAAAGTTTTGAAATACGCTAAACCCCGTGTTAATTCGGTTAGACCAGACCGTGCGGAGCGTCGCTCGCAGGAAGCTAGCCAACTTCCGAGGCAGAAACTCTGCCTAACCGCTACGGGCAAATAGACCGCCTATTTGAGAAGGCAACTGTGGAAAGTAATCGAATGAATTACTCCCCCGACATTGAACTCGAGTTGCCCGAGCTCCTAAGTACGTACTTGCTTAACCAAATAAATACCGGTGCTCGAATATCGCCGGAAGACACGGTGTGCTCTCTTGCACGCGATATTTCGATCCGCTCGGAGTCGAACGCCGCTTCTTCGCGAGCGGAGCTTTCGAAATCCGCGCCGGACGCGGTCAAACTCCGCGTTACGATCGTTGCAACGATAAAATATCGCCGACGAACAAAGACGAACGCAGGATCGAAGCCGCTAGAGGATCGTTAATATTTCGCGAGGGGAAATTCGATTAGCGAGCACTGATTACACGGTTGCTCATCGGAGCAAAATCCCGCGAACGATGCTCGAAAACGGGCGAACCGAATTGCCGACGTAGCTCGCGCGTCTCGCCGGCTTATTTTTCTCCGGCTTTGTTCCTTCGGCCGCGTTTAATAATTAACATCCACCGGAAGCGAAGCTGAGGAGAATCCCGCGCTCGTTCGTTCGTTCGAAGCCTCGTTCGCAAATCGATGGGAAACAGCCGGGAGCGACGACGCGTTGCTGCTCCCTCGTATTTCCCATCGAGACTGTCTATTTGGGAACCGACAACGCGCCGTGGAAAAACGCTTTCCAGAAAATGACAGACAGAGAGAGAGAGAGAGAGAGAGAGAGAGAGAGAGTCTCTCTCTCGCGGCCGACGGACCGTGAGAGACCGTTCGACGATCGATAGCCGGAATATTCTAAGAAGACGTCCGCGTAACGCGTCGATCGTGCTCGAACGCATCCGTGTTGCATCCTCCGATCGACTTCGATGCACCGCTTTCCGATCGGTGATAACGAATTTAGCGATCGTCGAACGGGCTCGACGAGTCGAAGGGGAGAAAGACGAACGATCGATCTCTGGAACGAGGGCAACGGAGATCTCGATTCCGGAGCAACGCGAATCCTTTCCGCGGTCATAGACGGAGTCTGCATCGGCCAGAAGTTATCGCGGCGCGGGATTATCGAGTTAAGGGATCGATTTTAGCCGGCTCGCGCGACAATCGCGTCGTTGACCAGATTCCAGGAAAGAGAGAGCCGGTCCCATTCGCGGTCAATGCGAGAGACAAATGCGACGGCAAACAGGATATCGATCGGCTCTGAAGAGGATGGGTTCATTATCACGGACCGCTATATGTTTAACGAGGTAAAACGACGGTCGGTTAATTACCCGCCGGCACCAGCGCGGAGCAGCGCGCCGCACCGTCCGCGTGTCCTATCATCTTCTGTTCGCCAAACGCGCCCATTGCTTCTCCCTTATCGAATTGGCACGCGAACGGCTCCCCTGCAGCGTCCCCCTAGTTTCTTGCAGAAACGTCGTTCGAAACGATACTCGAAATTCGCTCCCTTTTTACCGATTTAACCGATCGCAGCTGTGGAAGACTTCGAATCGATCCGTCGCGTCGTTTCACACCGTTCGCTAAATCGCGGAATTTTCATCGCTCGAAATTTACAATTTTCGCATCGGCCTCTGCGATCCGAACTCTGAAGCGTCGAGGGATTTTGCCTGAACCGTTTCGAACCGGCAGACGCGTCATAAACAAACGTTCGCGCAGTCTATCTGCCGTCGACGAATCCCGCGTGACTCTGCGCAAATATTATCCGCGCTTGCTACGCGGATCTAGATCTAGATGAACGGCGAAAAAAACAGCTGAATTTTTCGCAAATATCGTTCTCTTCTTCTGGAAATATATCGTGTTCCTCTAGAACGCGCATGGCCCCCCCGTATCGACGACGCTGCGTCAATTCGACAACAATTTATCTTTACGTCCGTGTCTATACCGGTGCTGGAGAGAGAAACGAGAATTTCGAATCGACGCTGTCGAATCTCGAAAACTACCCGGCGAATATACTGCGTTCGGCTCCGATCGAGTCGTAACAATACCGTGTGCACGGTTTACTCTCTCCAAAATATCCGTTCGATCGTCCTTAAAAAGTTCCGAGCAACTTTTCACTTGGCAACCGCTTTCCGAGCCGTTGTTTTCATTAGCCTGGCGAATCATTTTAAACCGACGCTTCGAGAGGAACTGTGATCGTTTTTTAAGACACCGCGCGTTCGTTTACTCTTTGTTTTCGAGAATCGACCGAGAACCAACTCGTGAAACCGAACAGCAACTTTCAAGGAGCTAACTTACTCGAGAAATAATGCGCGAAAGATTTGACCGGCGATCGAAGGGTTCGGCGTGTTGCAAATTTTCAAAGAGAGACGCGACAGAGAATCGACGTCTCGCCGTCCCTGCGAAGGGTGCTCGATCGTTTCGTCGTCGGCCTCGACAGGTTGGCAAAGGATTGCCGACGCGAGAGCCCCAACATTTTCTCGGCCGAGAAGCGACTCGCCAACAGCTGCCGAAGCGGTCGGTTCGGACCAAGTGCGACTCGCCGATTGGAAACCGATCGAACTTTCAAAGCCGTTGCCGGAAGCCTGACGAACTTCTGTGCTATGTACCGCGACGTTTATAAAACAGAGATACGTGTGTACGCGTAAAAGACAGATAGAGAGGAAGAGAGAGAAAGAGACTGCATCTTGAGATTACGCCGGCGGTTTCCGAGATTCAGCTGTTAAGCAGGAAATACGACGCAAAGTCCGGCCGACGAAGTAAGAGAAGTACGGGCACGCGGATCGAGCGTAAAACTCGCGGCAACTAGCACGCTCGGGGATTAATTAACCCTCGCGCAGCGAGTAATGAGCCGTTTTCAACCCCTGCCGCGTCTTAAAAGAAAGTAACTAAGGCCGAGGCAACGCTACGGCAACGGTATATCTGCGTTGTATTAACGCGTTAAGTACTGCGAGCTTATTAACCGAGTTCTCAACGACCGTCCTATTAACGAGCTAAAAAGAATGCCGCTCCTTCAAAATAATAACCGTCGACGAGTCGTTGGTTCGCGTCGGATCTGCTGAAAGATTGTTTCAGCCGTCACAAAATATTTCGCTGACATATTGAAGGAAAGAAAAATCGAAGGCGAGATCGAGACACGCGACCGGTTTGCTGCAGAGTGGAGGCACGTGCAAAGCAAAGAAGAGTATAGCAAAGCAAAGCAAATAAAAGCAAAGCGATAAAATAATGTGAAACCGTGTACGAACCGATTGTCGAGCGAGCCTGGGAGTGAACGATGGGGTTGTTATTGGCCTCGGAGTTTGTCGTCTGTGGTCGATCGGTGATGGCGGCGGTGGTGGTGGAGGTGGCGACGGTGGTCCCGGCGGCGGAGTTGAAGCTCGAAGTGGACGTGGAGGACGGGTTCGTTGTATTTAACGGCTTGGAGGACCAGGAGCTGCAAGTATCGCAGCCCTCCGCGGAGCGTGTCGACAACCGGCAGCAGGACCAGCGCTTTCCACTCCAGAGTCCGGCGTGATAACGACCGCTCAGCCCCGGATTCTCGCTGCACACTGTCGGCAAACAGGCCCCCACCATTAAAACCACCACAATAATTACCCCCGTACACGTCCTCGATGACGTCGATCTACGAAATCCCCGATTATATTAGCAGACGCGTAAACACGACGTACTACGTTCACGGATTAAGAGCTATAATACGAAATAAAGTTTGGTTCCATTGACGCGCCGCGGAAGCGAGCTGAGCGACGGAGACGGAGCAAAAACAGGCGCGCGTGTTTACTCGTCGCCGCGGCACTGATTTAACCGCGCGAATAGCATTACGTCGCGAGATACTACGTTCGCGGTATCGCACTATTGCGTCGCGAGATGCAACAATAGTGGCATCGCGCTATTTCGTCGCGAGATATCACATTCGTGACCTTGCACGTAAAGTATCGGTGTCGCGAAATAACGCGTCCACGGCAGCGACGCGGTTAAGGAGACGCGAGAAACTGGGTTTCCGCGGCGAGCGTTTTTCTCCACGCTTGCCGGCGTTTTTCTCTCTCTCTCTCTCTCTCTCTCTCTCTCTCTCTCTCTCTCTCTTTCTCTCTCGCTTTCCGCATCTTTCTCGCCATTTTTCTGGGAAACGCAGGCCGGACACGTCCCCGGATTTCTTCGGGAATCCACTCGGAAACCGTGAAACTGAATACAGCTTGGATAAATACGCGCGATTCCTCCGGGCGCTTAAAACTCAAGGATCGTGTCGGATCTGCCGTCGGATGGCGGGAGACACTGATTTTAAAACAATCGCGAAAGTGGTTCTTTTGTTCGCGGCAAGTTGCTCGGAAAGGAAATTTTTCCGGAATTCGAACAATTCGCTCTGCCCCGTCCCCATTGTTCGAATAATTGTACCGCCCACGAAAAAAAAAGAAAAAAGAAAAAATGGACAATCTTTCGAGCATCGTTTGCCGAATGCGAAATAAAAGGCCGATCGATAAGCACCCCGGCTGCGACTTGAAAAGACCGAATATTCGATAAAGTGGAAACCGAGCTATAAAATATTCGACGGTACGAGAAAACGGCTGAAGCTAAAATTCGATACAGGCGATAAAAGTTTTCAGGCTCTCTTAAGATATTTGTCGAACCGGTTCGTTGTTTCCTTTTCCGACGGTGGATTTCGCGCGGTCTTAACAAACCGGAGGACGAGATCCCTACGAAATCCGCGAATTCTGGCAGCGATATTCCAAGATCGTGTACGAACGATTCGCGGAGAAAGCCCAGCCCAATTTCGTCCAAGAAATAGCGGGTCAAGAGGGACGATAGCCCCTTGGCGGAGGGCTAAAAATTAATTAATCCGAGTGGCTCGTTAAAATGCGATCCGAGAGAGGAGGCAATAATTGTGCAGCCTGCAGAATCGCTATTTATTTTGGTCTTCTTTTCGGGATATTGCTTGGAACGGATCGAGGACTCGAGCGACGAGCAAAGACGCGCGCGGCGAGCGCGAACTGCATCGCTGCAAGTAGTTCGATCGCGCATCGCGTCGGCCGCTGCGAGTAGAACGCGAGTCGCGTCGCTCAGAGCTCGCGCGTTTAATCGATTCTCGCTGCTCCGTATTTAATTGTAAGTAAATTACTCTCGCCGCGAGTCGAAACATCAAATATGGATCTTATCAGTTATTCGGCAGTTGCTAGCTTCGAATAAACTTTGCGCCGCGCTCGGATTCGCTGGCGCACGGTCAATATTGTCTGTACCTTAATTGGCCTGGTATTAAATCAGATGCAATTTGGGGGTTTTAAATGTTATCCGGGTTACGTTCCGCCCGGTTTAGAACCGGATTCTAATTAAATCTACCAGCGATTCANGCAAACAGGCCCCCACCATTAAAACCACCACAATAATTACCCCCGTACACGTCCTCGATGACGTCGATCTACGAAATCCCCGATTATATTAGCAGACGCGTAAACACGACGTACTACGTTCACGGATTAAGAGCTATAATACGAAATAAAGTTTGGTTCCATTGACGCGCCGCGGAAGCGAGCTGAGCGACGGAGACGGAGCAAAAACAGGCGCGCGTGTTTACTCGTCGCCGCGGCACTGATTTAACCGCGCGAATAGCATTACGTCGCGAGATACTACGTTCGCGGTATCGCACTATTGCGTCGCGAGATGCAACAATAGTGGCATCGCGCTATTTCGTCGCGAGATATCACATTCGTGACCTTGCACGTAAAGTATCGGTGTCGCGAAATAACGCGTCCACGGCAGCGACGCGGTTAAGGAGACGCGAGAAACTGGGTTTCCGCGGCGAGCGTTTTTCTCCACGCTTGCCGGCGTTTTTCTCTCTCTCTCTCTCTCTCTCTCTCTCTCTCTCTCTCTCTCTCTTTCTCTCTCGCTTTCCGCATCTTTCTCGCCATTTTTCTGGGAAACGCAGGCCGGACACGTCCCCGGATTTCTTCGGGAATCCACTCGGAAACCGTGAAACTGAATACAGCTTGGATAAATACGCGCGATTCCTCCGGGCGCTTAAAACTCAAGGATCGTGTCGGATCTGCCGTCGGATGGCGGGAGACACTGATTTTAAAACAATCGCGAAAGTGGTTCTTTTGTTCGCGGCAAGTTGCTCGGAAAGGAAATTTTTCCGGAATTCGAACAATTCGCTCTGCCCCGTCCCCATTGTTCGAATAATTGTACCGCCCACGAAAAAAAAAGAAAAAAGAAAAAATGGACAATCTTTCGAGCATCGTTTGCCGAATGCGAAATAAAAGGCCGATCGATAAGCACCCCGGCTGCGACTTGAAAAGACCGAATATTCGATAAAGTGGAAACCGAGCTATAAAATATTCGACGGTACGAGAAAACGGCTGAAGCTAAAATTCGATACAGGCGATAAAAGTTTTCAGGCTCTCTTAAGATATTTGTCGAACCGGTTCGTTGTTTCCTTTTCCGACGGTGGATTTCGCGCGGTCTTAACAAACCGGAGGACGAGATCCCTACGAAATCCGCGAATTCTGGCAGCGATATTCCAAGATCGTGTACGAACGATTCGCGGAGAAAGCCCAGCCCAATTTCGTCCAAGAAATAGCGGGTCAAGAGGGACGATAGCCCCTTGGCGGAGGGCTAAAAATTAATTAATCCGAGTGGCTCGTTAAAATGCGATCCGAGAGAGGAGGCAATAATTGTGCAGCCTGCAGAATCGCTATTTATTTTGGTCTTCTTTTCGGGATATTGCTTGGAACGGATCGAGGACTCGAGCGACGAGCAAAGACGCGCGCGGCGAGCGCGAACTGCATCGCTGCAAGTAGTTCGATCGCGCATCGCGTCGGCCGCTGCGAGTAGAACGCGAGTCGCGTCGCTCAGAGCTCGCGCGTTTAATCGATTCTCGCTGCTCCGTATTTAATTGTAAGTAAATTACTCTCGCCGCGAGTCGAAACATCAAATATGGATCTTATCAGTTATTCGGCAGTTGCTAGCTTCGAATAAACTTTGCGCCGCGCTCGGATTCGCTGGCGCACGGTCAATATTGTCTGTACCTTAATTGGCCTGGTATTAAATCAGATGCAATTTGGGGGTTTTAAATGTTATCCGGGTTACGTTCCGCCCGGTTTAGAACCGGATTCTAATTAAATCTACCAGCGATTCATAGAACCGAAGACAAGTTTCGGTTATATTCGAACCGGATCTACTCGCAGCACGCGAGTCCCGAATTAGATTCTAGTTGGGACCTAATTAAATCCATTAATTTCGGATCGGCTCGACTCGGCTCGGCTCGACTCGGCTCGACCAATTAGAGTTTCCGACCGACGCGTTAATCGCGGTCCCTTCGACCAGCTATTCGGCGATCGAACAAGGAAGACGCGAGCTTCGTTTCCGATCTCGAAACAATATATTCGCCGGTGTCGAGAATTATTCAATTTCGGGCACGGACATTTCGATCCCGCGAACGCAGTTACAAGCAATCAATTACCTATACACCGCTGCACCGGCGCTGCACCGGCGAGGCGGACGTTTGCCCGCATTCCCCGAGTTATTTACGCGTTTGTAAAGAAAACATGTTCCTGTTACGTATTTATATCGCGCAAATATAACGGCGCCGATACAGCACGCGAGTCTGCACCTCCTGTTGCAACAACTTGCGCCCGGCAAATATCGCTTGAAAAAATGATCGGGGATTTCATTTGACGGATGCGATGGAAATTTCGCGGTCGCTCGGAAAATCAGCGAGATCGAATATCTCGCCGGAATTAAAGCACGTTTAATATTCGATCAATTTCTTCGTTATCCCGTTAAATCGCTGCCACGGTATCTTTGCTTCGAATCGCGAATTCATCTATTTTTCGTTCGTACGTATCCTGCGCCATTTCATTTATTTCATTCGATCGATCGACGGGAAACAAATTGTTCCGTTACAAGTCCAATTATGAATACTGTTGTATATATTACATTATACATGGAGAACGAGATCCTTACGGCGACGGTCGCATACATTTAAAGATGGAGTTTTTTAATTAGCCTCGATATTGTTTATATTAAATAGACATTATTTCTTTTCATCGAAGTACTTTGCAAGTTTTCCAGGCGTTTCGTGCGGGCTTCTGTGGGTGGCTGTGGGTGTTCCGCAACGAAAAATCGACGGGAAGTCGCGAGAACGGGTCTCCGACAATGGCGGAACAAGAGCTGCGAGGGTTGCGGCACGGGAATTCACTGACCCCCGAACGATAATGAGACGATTAACCGCGTTGTTCCCTGTTCGAGCTCGACGAGACGAGACGAGATAAGACGAGGCGAAAATAGTCGAGGCGAGAGACGGAGCGCGAGGCGAGACGAGGCGGATAATTAAAGAACCGGCCTGATAAAGAGAAATAAGCTGAACCAGACTACTTTGCACTTTCGTTTGGGAGAGGTTGCGCGGGAGCCGTCATGCACAATAGGTCTCATCGATATTGTCTCCCCGACAAATTGCTCGAGGGCCGGTATCGATCGCGGAACCTTTTAAACCGGTGCTGGTACTTTTTACCGGGCGAATCCATATGCAGAAGCCTCGAGACTTTTCGCTCGGAAGTCGGGGATAATAAAGATCATGTAAACGGACCGGTAGTTACGCTTCCTCGCCAGTTTTTTCCCCTCGTAATTTCTCTTCGCGGGAGCCTTTGTAGGACTTCCAGCGAAACGAGCTGGCGCTATGTAAAAAACATCCGAAAATCCTGTTGAATTCTTGCCGGAACTTCCGACGAAGGCGGCGACGTTTTAGCTCGAAGGTAAAGCTTCTTCCGAAATGACCGAAATAGCGTTTCCGCTATCGACGAGCGCTAACGACTACCGACGACTTCTTGATTTTTCAAGAAGCTTCCCAGGGTCCTCCGCGGAGTCGAGGGGCCATCGGGATCCTCGAAAGATCTTTCGGCTTCTTTAGAAATTATCTAAACGGCATCGTGTCCCTCCGAGGAAGACAACGTACTCTCGATGGCCTGCCGATGGCTCCTCGACCGCTCGAGGAGCCTTCGCAATGACTTCGGAGAATTTCCTTTGGGATCTCAAAGAACCTCGGGACTACCTTCGTGCAAGCCCTCGGGACACAATCCAAGACCTTTTGGGAAGCGTCCGAGGATCTTTGATTTAGACAGGACTTCTAAGCAAACTCCTGACGGATCTCGAGAACCCTTTCCCTTGAAATCTCGAGAGCCACAAAGATCGTCCGCAAGGTTCTGTTAACCCTTGACAACTCGTGGATCCCCGTAGAAACGCGCGAACGACCCCTTGAACACCTGCGACAAACACTCGACTGTTTCTCGATTACGCAAAGGCCAAGGAAGAACGTATTTTCTCGAAAGCTTCCACGTGGATCCGGCACGGTTCACCAGGGTCCTCTCTCTCAGGTTCCCGTAAATTTCCAAATTAATTAACCTAGCATGTGTCAATAATATGCTTTTAACTCCGGTACAGCGGTAATGGCTGCGAATAATTAAAGATAATCGCGGTTCGATGGAACCCGGGGATGGATCGCGTATTAGCGAGCATGGACTTTCGAATAAATCGTCGCGCGTTCATTAACATAGCTCATTATGAACGCAATTACGAAATTCATAACGCGTAGGGGCTGAATTTCGAGACGCGATCAAACACCCCGTTAATATCGCTCCGTTAATCGTGGAAAAGAACAATAATCGCTACGGCGCGTCGACAGCGGTCGTCGAAGCCGAAGACCGTGCGTCGATCGCGAACCTTTCGTCGGTCGGGAAAGCCGTAAACGCGACCCAGAAATTACGATTTCGTCCGACAAAGTTCGGTAGATAGCAACGGTCGCGAGAGAGAGAACAGCCGGAGTGAAACCGATGAACAGAACGCGTTCAACAAATTTCCCGGACTGTTCCGTGTGTCTTTAGGTCGAGCGGCTCTGGAAACTCTCTGGCCGATGACTGTCACCGGAAGATCCAATTATCGAAGCGAGACGCCACGAGTTGTTTCCGCGGGCCGCGGGAGGCACGGTTATTCCGTCTCTTTGACGACGAGCGACGTCAATTCCGCGAGGAAGCGGCCGGAAAAAAAAGAAGAGGGACCGAAGTGCGAGCGAGAGAGATAGAGAGAGCGCGAGAGAGCGAGAGAGGCGATTCATGCGAGAGAAGCCAAGCTCGCATACATTTCAAATGTTGCCGCAGTGTTCTCGCGAAGATGATCATTGCCGCGCGCAAGAAGCTTGAATAGCCTTTCACGTGTTCCGAGGAGCAACCACTTCTCGTTCTCAAGCTCGGATGTAAAACGCCCCTCCAGCCCCGAACACGTCTACGGGTCAGAGGCTTCAGCCGATGCCACCGGCTCTACAGCACCGCCCACGAACGATGTTCCGCGGAACATCAAGAATTTGCGGCTATTGTCGCGGCTATTGTCCCGACAGTCGGCCGGGCGCGCGGACTTCGATCGAGCAAGTTCCTCGAATCGATGCGTCGAACTTCTCGCCGAAAAAAATTCATTCGTGGCCGGTAGAGAATTCCGATTTCGCGCGAAGCGATTTCACGGTTTTCCAAAATGTTCGGCGGTTGTTTCGCCCCGCAGGGAAGAACGAAGAGCTTCGAAAAAAAGAAACTTCGAAAAAAAGATCGTGGTTCTGGTCTTCGAGAATTTCCGCTGGAATAATGTAATCGGACGGTGGGATATTCCTAGGGGAAACCGTTCCAGAGAGAACCAGCGGGTCCTAGGGAAATGAGAATTTATTTCTTTGGAAGAATTGCGGACGGCACGCGCGACGGGAAATTGGAGAACAGATCAAGGGCCAGGAAAATGAAAGACTGCGCGGGCGCGGGCGGTGTGTTTAAACTGCTGGGGCACGTCTGCTCGAACGAGAGACCGCTCGAATAATGAAACGCACGGTTTTCGAAAAGATTACCGCGACGTCAAGAGAGGATTACTTTCTCACGCTTCGTATTTTCTCGCCTAATTGTTTCCCAAGCCCGAGGAAGGAATCGTCGGAGCGCTTCGAGATCGGCGATCGCGCGAGTTCCGCTCTCGAACGTCATGGCCGAGCTTCCCGCGAGCGATAACTTCGCGGAAAAAGGACGAACGACGATCTATCCGGACTCGTTTTAAACGGCGACACCTCCGCTTTCGACCCCGAAGATCGTCTTTTATCGGTGGAATTTCTGCAAGTTGGTACGGCGCTGAAAAACCGAGGACGATCTTCCGCCGATGAGCTCGGTTCGCGTTCAGAGTGCGACGAAACGTCCGGAAAATATACACCGAAGTTCGAGAGCTCGTTGGAAAGAGGAAAGTTCGATCTCGAGATCCGCGTTCGTTCGAGCCGCGTAAAAATATTCGTTATCTTCCGTAGGGGCGTGTCAATTTGTCGGAAGCAAGTCCGACGCGGCTCGTCTCGGCAGTTTCGAATAAACTAATCTCGACACCGCAGGAATCGAGTTGAAAAAATATCGAACGAGGATGCGGAACGGTGGAGAAAACTGTCTAGAAAAGCGAAGAAAAGTGCTCGAGACGGAACAAGTTTCGCGGATGCGTATAAAAGGCGAAACTGGAAGCGGCAGACGCGGGCAGAAGTCGAGGATTCCATTTCCGGCTGGTGCCGCGCGGCCGCGAATAATAACCGATCACCCAGGACGAGATTCTTTGGAAACTCGTTAAAAGTTCGAGCGTCCCTCCGCAACGACAAATCCATCACCGATCGCGATACGTCGGCGATATCGGCGATCGATTCGCGCGATTTCCGAGCGCGAATCCGAGGAACCAGCGCGAACACGCTCAGAAGTTTCGCCACGAATCCCGCGATCGCGGCTGCATTTCTGGCGGAACAATTGCTCGGAGCTTCGCGAATCTCCGCTGCTCCGCAGACGAAAATCGTTCGGGCGAAAATCTCGATTAAATCGGCGTCGATGTCGATCGAACGAAGACGGCGAAGGACAACGTTCGATAAAACGTTCGACCGCGTAATATTATTTCTTCCACAAAGGTATTGTTCGCGTTGTAAAATTGCACGGGACGCCTTGCGCGTAACGAGGACAAGCAAAGACGCGGTAATTGCCGGACGATCGAAGCCCCTGCGAGCAGCCCTGCCGTAAGAATAGCACGATCGCAAGTTCGACGAGACTTCGAAGTTGATGAATAGGGTATCCGAGCGCGTACAGTAGACGTATCATGGACAAAAGCCAGCCGGGGAAAGCCTCTGAAACTCGATGCTTCTCGCAGTGTAATTTCTCGAAGTTTCGCTCGACGCAATTTCCTGCGTCGCCTCGCGTCGTCTCGCGTCGCGACGCGGACGACGTCGTTGCCGGGAAAACTTTGTCCGTCGAAACAATCGCCGACGAAAAGACGCGCGCCGGCCGGGTGGTCCTCCTCGATTTCGCCGAGTACTTAAGAAACAAAGTTAACGCCTCATCCGACGATTACAAGGATCCCCGGCTCGTCCTTCGAATTTTCATGCGACGAGCAGAGCTGGCGCGCGAGATCTCCTCCGTCGTCTTAAACGCGACGAACTCGTCCGATTCGCTTCACGCCGTCGCGAGCAGCCAAAACGTTATCGTCGGAATTTCCTCCGTTGACAAAAGTGAAATGGCCGGCGAATCGCATTTGGCTACGTATCCATGAAGCGCGACAAACAGAATATACAGCGCGCGCGTTAGCGTTTTCAGTGTTACAGGATATTTGCGGCTGCAAAAAAGATTGACAGCCGTCCGATAAACGGGCGCAACGCGTCCCAGCGAAATAGAAACCGCGAAACACGGCTTGTATATCGTTTTAACCCAGTTCCCGCACGGCTCTTCGATTCGGCGAATATTTAATATTGTCCGGCACTTTGGCGGGGGGTGGCACGCGAGCACCGGTGTGCGCGAAACTCGGCCGCGTCGCGGCCGTAGTCTCTCCGTTCAAATAAATTTCGCGAGAGCGAGACCCGAAAACGACCAGCCAGCCGGCCGGCCGACCGGCTGGCTGGCCTCGTCGTTGCACGAATAAAAAAAGAGCTCCGAACAGCGAACACGGGGAAACTCGACGCGCACGAAAATTCACCGTGACATCTTTGTTCAGGGATCGGCCACGCTGAAAATAGTGGACGGGAGGGATAAAACTAATGCTCGCGTTCACGACGGCGCGAAAAAGGAAGAGAGCAGCGCGTCTTTATTAACGCTTCGCGAGCGAGCCGAGCGCGATTTGCGCGTCGGCTGCGAGCGGACACCCTCCGCGCGTTCTCCAGAGACAGATCGGACAAATGGCGAGCACTGATTCGCAGCTGACGCGCGCGCGACGACTTCGCAATATTCGGAGAGCGCTCTGATCCGAGTCGTTTATCGTTTCGCGGAAATAAATGGCGGCCGGCAATTTTGGCACGGAACGAATATTCGAAGAATTTCGCGTAGCGAAGCAAAATTGAAGCTCGTTGATTCCCGAACGGTTCGGTAACGAATCGCAGTCGCGAGAGCCGTGGACGCGGAGACAAGATAATTGAGAGAGAGAATAGAGGGTAACTCACCAGCACGGATCGCACGAATCCACTCGGCGCGGTCCTGCTCGCGGGCGGCTAGGAGGTAGAGCGTGTACTCTTGGCCGGCCTCTCGATAGCCCACCTGAAAGGGTAGCCCAGGTGGTATTCCGCCGCCTCCGCTTCCGCCGGTACCTGCCTCGCTGCCGGCCATCTCGCTGCCGACGCCGCCGCCGCCGCCGCCGCCGCCACCGACGCCGCCTCCGCCGCCGCCGCCGCCGGCGTTGCTCCCGAGGCTCGCCGTTTCAACCACGTGGACGCTCTCGACCGCGATTCTACCTCGTTCCTTGCGCCGCTGCGACAGAGAGAACAAACTCCGGTTCGTTATCTTGTACGTCCCCTGTCCGGGCAACGAGTGCCAGGCAGAGAAAACACAGTGGGAACAAATGAAACGGGACCGCGGCCCGAGACGCGGCCTTCTTCCATCCAATTAATCCTTTATTGCGAGTTTAGTGCCATTCGTTCGAGCCCCTCTGCGCCGAGAAATTCTCGTCGGCGTGCTTTCGAACGTCTTTCTCGAGGAGGAAACAACGGAAAGACGATTCCGATGTTCGAAGGGCGCGATGGCCGCGCCTTTTGGACGTTCGCGTTCGCCCCTTCGCTTTTGCCTTCGCTTCGGCCGTCGCGTTCGACTCGCGAATAGCTTTCTCGAGAAATAATTTTCCGAGACAAAATAATGGACGACGATCTGCCGGGACTCGTTCAAGGGATGAAAACCCGCACTTTCGTCCTCCGAAATTGTCTTTTATCCGGGTCGCCTTCGCGAGAGGTAACGAGCAAGTGGGAAAGATCCCCTTTTCGAGAGATCGCGCGCCGAGTTTGATGGGCTGGTTATAAAGGGGGGAGGAAGAAGTCTTTGAATTCCACGGTGGTTTGGAATCGACCGAGATTCCAGCTCGTTCGTTGTGCCGCCAAGATGGAGAACAACCGCGTCCCGACTCGTTATCGTGTACGGCCAACGAGTGGAGAGAAAAAGAGTGAAAAGAAATGAAAAACGGGACCAGAAGCCGAGACGTGGCCGGAAGGCGGGCCCGGATATAAGCGCGACCGGCGCTCCGCGCCGCCTTTCGTCTCCGCCGGAAAACGTTTATACGTTTTATACCTGCGCTTTCTTTCCGCTTTTTCCTGCGCTCTCTCTCTCTCTCTCTCTCTCTCGCTCTCGTCATTTCTCTCCCCGGTTTCACCTTTTCCTTTTTTCAGTCGAAGCTGAAAGGAGGGACTTTGCTCTTTGCGTTATCACTCGATTTTAGTCACCGCGCGATGGCTCTTGAAACGGTTTCCGGCGCCCTCTCCGCGCCCTCCGCCCTCGAGAATGCCGCCGACGGGACGGTGCAGAGGATACCTCGCGCGACAATCGAGAGAGCATCGATAGAACCGTCGATTACGCGAGGACGCGAGACGTCGATGCGTTTTTCCAAAAAAAAAACAAAAAAAGACGGCAAGTCGACGAAGCGAAAATCGAGGCTTCGACTTTCCAAAGCGAGCCCGGGAAGATCGATTTTGCGTGCGCAAAGTCGCGGAGCGGGTCAAACGTCGCGTGGAAATTGTTCTCGATTAAAACGAGAAGTCGGAGCTTTATAAAAATCGGGCCAGAGCGATTACAAGCCCCGGAGATGAACCACCGGCGGGACAGCCGCCAATCAACGTCGACGAGTCTAACGCAATTATCGGCGAGAACAAAAATAACGTTCGCGTATCGCCGGAAAAATAAAATATCGATAAAGGCGTCGGTTCGACGACGAAAATTCACGCGGACGCCGTCCGGCCGACGATCCCGCGGGATATTTACACTTTTGCGCAAGCTTGTCAGCCGGTTTTGCGTGTCGGCCGCGTTGCGTCGTCGACGCGCTGATTGACAGCGCCATTCGATTTCTTTTCCGTTTCGCTCTTTTTTTGTGTTGTTTTTTTTTCGCCTACATCCGATACGTCGGGGAAAACGGGACGCGAGAGGGTGGCTGCGAGAGAAACGTGGCTCGGCTCCCGTCACGTTGCGTCCGCGTTATCGAAACTGCGGATCAAGATTACACGGCGGATCCAATTCCGAGGCAACCCCGAGAGCCACGGACCCATTGTTTGGCTAAACGGAATGCAGCCGGTGCTTAGGATCCCTTCCGGCCCCGTCCCCTCTCGGCTAATATTTGCCTCGATCCCCGAGATACACCTTTCTCGACGCGCGTGTCAGGATCGCGCCCGCCGAGACGGGGATCTGCTCCAAGGAACACACGCCAGATAATAGAGTGTTTGGGATAGTCGGGATTCACGGAAATTTGAAATAGAAAGGGCTCGCTGATGCGCCGTGGGACGTCGCGGCCCGCTTCCACTACGACTCCCAACATTTCGATTCGAGGAACGGTGTTTGCGCTACGGCGTACTCGAGATAAATAAGTTGACTTTGGTGCGGAGACACGGGGGCATCGTTTTCGTCATCGGTCGACCGCGGATTTTATGCGCGTTTATCGGAACAACGAGTTGCTGCCGTTTCGAACGGACGATTGGACGAGCGTCCGCTCGTTCAAATAGTTGCAGAAAGAGAGACGTCGTCGAAGAACCGATGCAGAAATTTTCCATCTCGATGCTCGAGAAGATCGAAGAGGAATCGCGTCGGTTGAACAACGATTTGCGGCGCGAGCGAATCGCGTTCTCCGAGCCCGCGAACAACCTGGACGAGCCGAACGTCGTTGCGAACACGTTGTTCGTCGCGTAGAGACGAATCTCCCGTTTCGAAACCGGCGAACAGAGCCCCGTCTGTTTGACCAGATGTCCCCGAAGGAACGGAAGGCGGGCTCTCTCCGACAGAATTAAAGGAGAAAAACGACGCCGAGGGCAAGAGTAATGGCGAGAACCACTCGGCGGTGGATGCCGGGGATGGAAAAGGGTACGAGTTTCCCCGGCGGGAAACCGAGAGACACGGGTGTCCTCTTAGCCGCGATTTAGCGTCCCATGAAACGCCGTGTCCCGCCGCGATAAACCGGCCGCGTCGAATCTACGACTACAGTTGTTCTTCATTATTTCGTCGCCGTGCCAGTGCGGTGGTTCCGCCGCCTCGATAAAAACGCGTTTCAACGGCGCGATATCGCCTCGCAGGAGGGACCCGGGCTTTTTCCGAAGCTAGCCCGAACCGAGCCCCGAATGATTTACGAGCCGGCCGAAGCTCGAGGACGCGAAAACGCGCCCGCGCCCGCGCCCGCGCCCGCGCCGGCCCGATCCGGGACAGTGACGGGTCGCAGTTAAAGTGATATAATATCGCTGCAATTTGTAATTTTTTACAGGTTTTTGCGCCACCTCCGTCGCGCTCGACCGACGACTTTTTCGAGGACGATCTCTAGAGGTGCTCGGCGGAACCGGACGCTGAAGTTATTGCAGCGGCGTGCCATTTTTTCGGACCGTTCTCGATCGCGTCGCAGATTTTGTTATCGTCGGACTGCGGATTTGACGCGTTTGCAACGAGAATGGGCGAACGAAATTCGAATCAGCGAATGCGACGGTGGACGCGTTCCCTTCGATCGATCGGGGAACTTTTACCCGACTTTTCTATTCGAATGAAATTGCCAGGTTTCACCGAACCGAACGAGAACCGAGAGGGTGTTAATTTACTTCTCGAGACGCGGACGTCTAGACGAACACCGCCGACGTCCGACCGTATCTTCGGCAACGCGATTCTCGCGTTCGCCAGTTCACGGTTGGTCCGGCGAGGATTCCTCGGAGTAGTTAATTCACCCTTGTTTCGAGCCATCAACGAGGATGAAATTCGAAAATCCCGGGAAGGATGTGTGTACCGTGTTCGCCGCGAAGACGTAACGAGGTCAAAGGATTCAAATCCCCTTTCTCCGGCTCTTGTCATCGATGGAAACGGAAGAGGGAAGGCAGGGCCTGCGCGGCGCGCGGAACCAGAGACAGCGAACGAAGGAAAGCACTTAGGGAAGACGAGGGGAATTAATAGAGAAACCGTGAAACGAAAGACCGAGCTCCGACGAACGAAGGCGAAGCGGGCCGCGATTTTACGGAAAAGTAAAAAGATCTTTCCGAGAAAAGAAAAGGGTTCGAGAGGAGGAATACGATGGAGAAGGACCATGCTCCGCTCTCTAATAAGAATGGCGAATCTTGGGAACATCCGACGTCCCCAGGATATCAAATCGAAAGCTACGATACGTATTTCATTTGGTAAAACCAACTCGGACTTCCGAGTCGGAACACACCTGGCACATTTTATCGTTCCGCCGCCGTTTAACTTCGCTTATTTCTTTAGGGACGACGAGGAGACTGCTTCGAAAGGGCTCGCGCGAGTTCGAGTCTGGAGCGCGCGAAGAGAGCCGCGACAATGGGAGGACCGTGAGAAACGAAGGGACGTCTAGATCCGAGGAGCCAGCCGTTTCTTTCGTCGACCAGGTCGATGGTGGCCGAGGGTAGCCACCATAAGCACCATGATACTCGAGAGGAGTGTGTCAAGCGTCTCGAGCAGCTCGCCGACACGGCCGAGACAAATCACGGCTCGGTCTACACCCACGCGCGCGACAAATTCAACAACGTCTAGCCCCCGTGGCTGTTATTGGAAAACCTGGATGGGGGTTGCCTCGCCTCGGCGCGCAAACGATGGCGTGTGCGGGCGTAACCGGTGATATGGCCGAGGGTGGCTCCTTTCGAATGCCGGAAATCCGGCCAGACGAATCGAGTTTCCTCGGACCGTCGGAAGGATATTGGTGTACACGGAGCACCGTTTATCCCGGCGGTGGTCCCTATCATTCCTCGATACGATTCGATTCGGCGATCTTCTACTTATCGATAGCGTCTGTTCATCGCGAGGCTATTCCACTTGAAACAGTAGCATCGTCGACCGTGTACAGTAATGTTTCCCTTATCGACGCTGAGATTGCGCACAAAAATGGACAATTTGGGAAGAAGAAGAAGGCGACCGTTCCTCTTCCCAAATTGTCCATTTCTGTGGACGATCCGAGCGTCGATTAGAGAGACGTTACTGTAATCGTCGCGCCCTGCTAAAACTGCTAAAAACTACCTCATCGATTTCGTAAGACCTCTTTCGTAAGACGCGGTGGTTCGCCCTTCTTCCCTTCTCGCGCGGCAATTACAAGTTGCGGGCTGTTTCGGGAGACGAAGAATAGCCTTTTGGGTGTCGTTTGCGAGGAAAACGCGGTGTAGCAACCGATATCGTGGCTCTCTCAACAGGTTATCGGTCGTTCTTCGGTGCTCGGCGAAATCGCGTCGCGCGTTTCACCGTTGCCCCCTTAATGCCATTAGCCGGGATTAAAAAGTACGTTTGCAGCGCCGCCGTGCCGTGGG